TGTCTGAATGCCTGTGATTCAGCCGTAGGTCAGTAGGGGGCGAACGCGGGCATTGAAGACCCTGTATAAATGGATCAACTTCCTGGTTTGCCGGCAGTGCGCGGTTTTCTGTCAGCGGTGGCAATAAACCCTCACTCCAGAATTCTGGTTTTGTATGGTTTTATTCTGTCTAACAATCATATTATTTAACATTGGTGGYTTTCTATTGACTTCAGTCTTTGAACACGAATATTTCTTTCGGTTTTGGTGACCCCGACGTTTGTCTGAAAGTCGTGTAGGAAACTGCGGTGTTGGGGCTAAGGCGGCTAGTATTAGCAGGCCTTTGTAATCGATGTGCGGTCTGGGCGCAGGACAAAGGTGAGCAAAACTCTTTTTTTGCTTTCCATCTTGTTTACCGAACAAAGCGATGCGGCGATCAGTGTTTTCTGCGGGCTGGGCTGTGTGTCGGGGAGTTGAAACGGCCTCGCTAAGGATTAGCGTTGCCAGGCTAAGGCTGTGTGTCAGCTTAGCAACGACAACATGTCGTTCGGCATAGTCAAAACAAGCGTGGTTTAACGTGGACGGTAAGAGACGGTTTAAAAGCATTTAAACATATCGGTCTGTGGGGGTTTAAAGCCATACAATACATCAGGCCTTTAGGTAGTTTTAGGGTCAGGTTGGTACCTGTGAGGTTAAATTTTGGGTAAACAGTCAGGGTTAGGATAAAAAATTTCCAAAAAATGAATGGAAGTCAATGGAAAGTCCCCAGAAGGATAGCGAGACATAGTAGGTGTGTGTGTGTGTGGTGGGATGTAATCATGTCAGGACTTTCAGGGCTGATCAAACCGCTCAGCAGCTCTGATGGGATGTTCCAGAAGAACACTACACTGACTGTGAGGAGAAGAATGTTGGAGTTCACCTGACAGGATAACTGTCTGTCAACTGAAGGACGTCGTAGTAATACAGTCGTAGTAATACAGTACACGTAGTGTACTGTATTACACTCTATAAGTCTCCCTTTGACAGTTGTGAATATTTATAATGCAGTAACTCAATATTAATATGTTAAACTATATATTTTTTATTGTTATTGTGCTTACAGTGTAGTAAAGGGCTCGACACACGGGAGGCGACGTCGCTCGCTCTCCATTCATTTCCTATGGAGCCTGTGCGGTGAGG